GAATCAAATGGCAAAGCAAGTGGAACATGACATGGAAACTAGGGAACACATATAGGGAATATTGTAGGGTTATAAGGTCATACGACGCCAGGGGTCACCGTCCGATTCAGCGGCCACGTGTGAGGTTTCTGTTGGCGAGCCACTTAAGGTCTCTACACATCTGCTTTGTTGATTCATTTTGCTGGGGGATGAAATTTTTGATCATGGCCATCTAGAGGCTAGACATTCTGCCTGACATTTCATTCAGGATGAAAGAAGTAGGTACATGACTTAGATCTTCAGCTGCTAAGCAGTAACCTCTGTCATGCATCATGAATCCAGCTTGCTACGTGTGTGGCCCATTTCTGGAGGTTCAGTCGTCAACTGTTCATGGAACATTGCGCTTTTCAATCCTCACATGCATAGTGACTACAGAATGATTGAGCGTAACGCCTACATTCCAAACTCGGAACCGTGAACCCCAGAGCCAAAAAGCCGGCCGTTGTCTCAAAAGGCTGGCGGGAAGTGTTGCCACGGCAAGCAGTCGCTGTCGGCAACTTCTCCAGGACTCTCAAAGCCCCGCAAGATCCTGGCGTATGCAGCTTAGGGACAACGGGATGTTCTATTGCAGGTCATATTTGTTGTAGAGCGATTTCAGATGTGAATTGTCACAAGCTTGCTGAACTGCTTTAGCCTTTAAATTGTAGAGAGCTGCACGGCGCCTGCACAATTCAGCCAGCCAGGACGGGCTTAGTGTGATGCATCAGCGAGGCTCGCGGGGTACATCAGCAAATTAATCATCACGATGGCTTGCTGCATTGTTCTGGCTGCTATCATGATGATGCTGGGTGTCATCGTGTTTCTTTCAGCAGTTGCCGCTGATGGCCTCCAGCAGCTGTAGCTGCTGCCGCAGCAGCTAGGTTGACCATAATTATTGCCACCGGCATGGTAGTAGCAATCAACATCGTGACTATGCATATCATGCCTGTGTCCAAGAGTGGTAGGGATGCCTCCGCCCAGCATCTGATATCTTTTAATGCTGTCCTGTTCTTTTGTGGCTAGGCAGGGGGGGGGTTATCAAGTTCTAGCATCGGTACTTGGCCTGTCCCCACTTGTGGTTGTTATCTGGCAATCAAGGTGTAATGTTGGTCTGTTGGCCGACCAGATGGTTTGGGGACTCCCGCAGGTTAATAATCCCTATAAGCCAAAAAATGACACCTAGTATCCCCATTATGAATCTCCTTACTATGTCCTATGACCCTCCAAGTAGGGGCAACATGGGATTCAGAATGGGCGCTTTAGGACATTTCTTGACGAGCCGTCCTGGCTCATTATGGCTTCGCGAAATTGCTTCGCTCATCAAAGACAGACCCACATGAGCTATAGTCTAAACTCCTTAAAGGGGGCTTATATAGGGGATTATATAGGGGAGTACTATAGAGGTTACTAGGGGGGATACTAGGAGTTTAGACTATAGCTCGCATACCAACAGAGCCCCCACGAACACTAACCCCTCTGCGGCAGCAGACATGCTCTGCGGCAAACAGGATGCGCGATGCAAACTCCCGGGCACAAACCCCACAACCCCACAACCCCCCAATCCCACAATCCCAACGCCAACCAACTTGCAGCCTAGTGTCCTGCCAAAGGCAACTGAATTGCCACCCTGGCAGGTCAGCAGATCTTCGTCCAGGCTGTCTCATGGCTCAAGGACGCCAAGCTGGACGTCCCCAAAGGCCTGCAAGGATGGGTACGAGTCATACAGGAATGACATGAAGGGATGCACGTAGTAGATTCGTCTCGGGTCGTATTCTATCCCATACGTTCTGATCATTCCTTGACGCATTGAAAAGGGAGCATTGTATCTTGTTTTGAGCTCATCGCATCCTCCGTGGGTTGCTGTAGGATTCCAGTACTCCAAACATTCCATGGTGGAGCCTGCAAACTTCAGTCAGCAAGCGTGTCTGCCAAAGTCCAGATGCACTAGCACCGATTCACATTGAGCCCAAGTCTGTGTATTTCGGCATTGGGAGGGGTTGCCTCCTGAACATGTTGTATTTGCCATGAAGATGCCCATGAAGAATCAGCAGCCAACATACGAAACCTGATAACTCAGGATAGGCACCATTACATTTTGCTATAGAACCTCACGCGCCAATTGAAGCCTTATCAGACGCAGGGAAGCCCTGAGGTACTGTGGACTACACGGAGCAAAGCGCTCTGACTGGCCCTCCCTGCTGGCTCATTTTGGGTGTTTCCAAAAAACAAGGGTACCATTTTGGGGGGTCCCTGTAATAAGGACTATAATATTTTAGGGGTCTATATTGGGGTCTCTCTGTTTATGGAAACTATTGTTTTGCACAAGTCGTGGTTTCCGACAATAGGCGTCCCTCTTTGGGATCCCCATGACGAGGATTAAGGTACTTTGGCCTTAACTATGATAGTAAGGCATAACGTGCATACTAATGGGAGAGTACTGAAGACGTGCAGATGAGTGGACGTGCATCAAGCTAAATAGTGCAGCATCAGCTATAGGGCTTCATGTGCAACAGGGACTTAGGAGACATATTACTATACACCCATTGCTTACTAGGGGTCAGCAGGGAATGTGGGAATACACATATATATATATATGCATATCTATGGATCGATTATATGGGGGGAAATGCAGGGAGTATATCCCTCATTTCCTTGATCTAGGACACCCTCACTCCCTCCGAGTGTAGGGAAGCGCCAGCCAGGTGATGCAGCCAACACGCCAGAGCCCCTGCCAGAAACCTCCGAGGCCATTTCTTGCTGCGGTTAGCAGTGAATACGGAAATTATAATCCCAGTGTAGGGAGTATATAGGGATTATATCCCATATTCCCTAATAACAATCAGTAAAATTTGCATGATGAGGAGTCAAGGATTTCATGTGAAAGAGATAGGTCCTTGATGGGGTGATAGTTTCCTGTGCGTAGTCACAGGTTCCATTGCATTTCCCACGGTTTTTTCGACTTGATTCTCCATTATGGGGATAAATTCCCCAGACCGTGTGCGAACAATCTGAGCATGAAAGCGTAATTGGTACCGCCACGACCTGCTCAACGATTGCAGCACAAACAATATAGCAGTATGGCCTCCAGAATTCTGAGTACCGAGACCTTGCCGGGACCCCGAGAAAACTGCTCGTGATGAACTGGCAGCTTGCAGTTTTGTTTCTTTGGTTGCTGCCTTGCAATTGGCCCCAGCACGCTTGCAAGGTTCAGACTGAGCAGGATTTGGTCAAGATTGTGTATCGGCAGATTTTGTAGACTGGCGGGTAAGTCCAACTCTGTATCGCATGTGTGTGATATATACAGGCTTGGCAGGCATTCTACTACTCAGCAACTGACTGCTCAGAAACCTGCTGAAGATTTGGACTGTCAGCTAACTGGTTGTTAGTTTCTGTTCCCTTATTATTTCCTACTTTGAACCAGGAAGGATACCTGCCCGGGCACAGGGTTTGGGCCTGCAGGCCCCACGTACTCAACAACCCAGATTGCAGTGCAGGTATCAGATCCCTATTTGCAGCATATGTGTAATTAGGCACAATGCCACACTGGCACACTCCAAAGTTGGCGAAAGCTTATGGACTTGTCAGCTTTTGCGGGTCAAGCCAATGCAGCCCGTGCCTTCAAGCATGCTACACTGCTGCCCTTCACCAAACCCTTGCATGTTTTGCAGAACACGCAGGCACACAGCCGTAACTCCAGCAAGACGTCGAGCCCAGATAATGAGGAGCCTTGAAGCATCTGTTGTTGCCAAATTTTCTTTGCGTGAATCGGAGTATTCGGTTGGAGGTGGCTCGGTGGAATCAATGCTGAAGGCAGACGGTGTGCACCTAACCTACCGGAGCCGCTCTTAGGGATGTCAGCCGCCCCGTGACCTGTGTCAAGTTCTACTGAAAGGAGCATGCTCCCCCTATGTAATCCTTACAGAACTGTAACCCCTATGTACTCCCTATATCCCATCTTCCCTACTGAGCCCCAGTAATTCTCTGAAACCTTACGTAATCCCTATATAGAAAAACCACGTTCGCTACTAAGCCCTTGTAATTCTCTAAACCCCTACATGATCCCTATATAAATATGTATGTATATATCTATATCTATATATGATCCCTATAATAAGATCATAGGGTTTAGGGTTAGCAGGGAAGAAAGGAATATGTCATACAAGGATCATATAGGGATGAGAGTCCCTTATTCGGTACTAAGAACCAGTAAGGTGAGAGATCAGCCTGATTTTGATCCAGCGAAGATGGTTCGCCTATGCTCCAGAACCTGTGGCAAAATATGACGCAAGTATCGTACTTACCAACCACCGTTGCAACATGATCCCTGCCCCCCAGGCCTCAACTCCTAGCAGCAACACATCGCCAAAGTCCTCCCTAAACTCTACACATCCAAAGGTCCGACGCCCAAGCCCCTCAACCTCTCTGTACAACGGCGGCGTATTTTTGCATAAGTAACTTGGACAGGACGGATCTTCAGATTCAGTTGCATGCTTTTTCTCCTTCTCTACCCTCTCTCTCTCTCTCTCTCTGACTCTTTCTCCCCCTCCTCCTCTCTGAGTAGGAGATGCAAGCATAGCTCTGTGAGTATGAAACGAGCTGCCTTCCTCCTTCCTTTCAGGCTTCCTAATTCAGCTGTGCATGCAGCAGGGCTTCTTGCCATATCATGGAGGCCCGCACGGAACCGCTCTGTTGATACAGGAGTCCGGTCATCAAGATCCTGCCCTCGAGGAGCCGGAGGAAGAGCAGAGCCCGGAGCGTGAGGAGCAGGAGGAGCATGTGCCGGGCACAGAGGAGCCATGTTGAAAGCCCTCTGAAAAGACTTATAGTCCCCCTTAAGTAGATAGAATATGGCTTTGGGTATATTATAGGAAGATCCCCATATACCCCATATTCTATCTGCTTAAGGGGGACAATACATAGGTCTGAAGCAGGGTTTTGACAGGTTTTAGGTGGTGGGGTCTCGCAGGTTTTGCTGTAACATGGTTAGTTGCCAGATGTCCCAGCTTGGGAAGGATTTCTGGATTAAGCTACAAACAATTCCATGCAAGGATGCACCAGGGAAAAGGACTCATAGTAGTCTCCATTTTCTTTTCCATTATCCCAATAGAACCCCTATATAGCCCTTATATTATAACATGCTATACGAGGTTTCGGCGACAGCCTCAGGAGTTGTCGGGGATGGGTACAGGTAGTTAGCCATTGTGGAGGGTTTTGAGCCCAAAGCTTCTAAAGCCTTCAGCCCCGCGCAGTGGAAAGGCTAGCCAATCATGGGTTGCCCTTCTACCACCCCCCATACCCCCTAGGTTTAGCCTTCATTAGACTTACCTTGAAAAACCTGCATTGGTATAGGGGGTAGTAGAGGAACCCATGAGCCTAGCAGCTCTAGCCATGTTCTCCCATGTTCTTCTGTCCTTGCCTAGAGGGAGGGGTTTCTCTTACTGGGAATAGGGGAAGCAAATCCCAATGTAAGCCCCATATGCTATATTCCCTCGTCAAACCCTACTAACCTCCAGTAAGTTACAACAAGGACAAACAGTATTTCGGGATCTATGTTGGGGTCCCCTATTGATAGAAACCATGAGGTATTGATGAACAGTAGTGTCCACTATCGTTGAAGCCCTAGGATCTTAGGATCGGAACCCGCAAACAACCCTCTGGGCACCTTGAAGGAAGATCACACACCCGAAGCCATCCTTACACCTACCAGCCATATCATCTAGCTCAGTGGCTGAAGTTTCGACAAAGCCACCTTAACACCTAAAAGTAACCTTCAGCTACATAAGGAATTTTATGCGTGGGAACATGTCAACGAGGCAGATATCTGTAAGTTGTTCTAGGGAGGAACCAGTATGAGCCATTGACAACGCTACCGGAGCCCTTCCCCTCAAGTGCTGCGGAGGAGGAGACAGCTGAGAGCCCTGGTGGCCGCCGCGAGTCCGAGGAGTTGGAGGTGTTGGGACCATCAGAGACATAAACAATGATGGAGATTGCAGTGGGTTTAGGGTTTAGGGTTTAGGGCATGGAAGATGAGAAGAAAACTAGTTTTGGTGGTTTATCGGGATTAGGGTTTTCAAGATTCGGGGGTTCCCTTTCTGGGAGTCCCTATGTTAAGAGCTGTTGTCTTTGGGAGTATATAAGAAAGGGACTTTGTTTGTGGGAGCCTCCATATCTGTAGGCTCTTCAGGAACACTGGTTCAACCCAAAGGCCCCTCGAAAAGAGTAGTCCATGGAACCTACTATAGTATATTGCGGTATATATATATTTATTGGGGTATATCATATTGGAGTTATATTGGGATAATGGAAAAGAAAATGGAAACTACTATATGCACAGTTTCTGAAAGGAGAGCAGTATGTCAGAGCGCTTGAGGGCTCCTGGAAGAGGGTCTACAAAAAAGTGTTGTTGAGTTGCTTTGTCAGTTTCTTAGGTTCAGGTCTCAGGGTACTAAACCCTGAACCCCAAAGAAACTCACATATTCATTGGGGTTATGTAGGGATAATGGTGGCAAAAAACATGGAAACTACTATAACGGGGTTTGTTTAGGATTTAGGTGCGGACGCCAGAACTTGTCATCTTGATTGGAGGGGGATGATGGTAGTATGAGGCACGCGCCACTTTGAAGTTCTCAGGGTATGAATAACATATTAGGTAGCTTGCTAGGAGAGCCGCATGAAGATGAGCAGCCCATTTTCCACTGAACAGGCCAAGCGCATCCCGAAAGCTACCGAACGATAAAAGTCACAAGCCTATGAGGGGAACTCAAGGCCATGTAGATCGTGAGACTCAACGATGCTGAAGTAGCCCAATCCACTTTCAGCACTGTCTGCTGCCTCATGCTTCCTCGAACTTTGGAACTTTGCCCGACTCTGCTTGTTGAGGCATCTGACGCCGCGCCAGCCGCTTCAGCTGAACACAGTCGATTTGCCTGTTGAATGCTGCGGATTTAGATTCCAGCACCTGACATGGTTCCGCACACAGAAGAACTACTTCAGTGCCACGGGAGCGTCTTTCACGACAGGTGCATCTGGCTTTGCATGCATACGGAATTTGAAGATGAATAGTGAGAATTGTGGCTCAAGCATCATTTTCTTCAATACATGACAGCTGGCGTGTTGTCATCATCAGCATCCCTATCATCATGGCCGTCGTCGTCGTCATCATCATCATCATGATCATCATCATATGTTATAAGGACCATGGCCATCATGATCAAGATCAAGACCATCCCCATGACTATCCCCATCACCATCACCATCTTAATCATCATCGCCGTCATCCGCGCCATCACGCTCGTCGTCGTCGTCGTCGTCGTAGTAGTAGTAGTAGTAGTAGTACTAGTACTAGTACTAGTACTAGTAGTAGTAGTAGTAGTAGTAGTTTCTGAGAGTGTTTTGTTGGTGCTGGTGTTGGGACTGAGTCCCAGCTGGGCCGACTGCGTGCACTTGACAGTTGCCAGCTGAGCCAGCTGAGGAAAGACAGACCTCAGAGCCGTCTTCGTTCGCAGATACGCAGGCACCCTGCGCTGCACTTCTGAGGATGCCCTAGGGTTGTATCTATCATCCGATGTTTCCACGCGGCTGGATGCTATATATACCCAATTTACTATATAGTAGTTTCCATTTTCTTTTCCGTTCTCCCTATATTACCCCAATACGACCCCAATATTATCCCAGCATAACCCCTATATAACCCCAATAGTATCCCAGCATAACCCGATTGTAACCCCAGCATTATCCTTATACAACCTCACTATAACCCCAACATTATCCCAATATAACCCCACTATAACCCCAATATTATCCCAACATAACCCCCTATAACCCCAATATTATCCCAATTGTATCCCTATATAACCCCACTATAACCCCAAGACATACCCTGAGTCCCAAATACGCGAAGGCCGAACGCCAGGAGAGTGGCGGCAGTACGGGAACTTACACCGACGCCAGCTTCGTGGCTGAGGAGGCCCATTGTTTCCAAGGGGACAACAGGTTTGGGATTAGGGTTTAGGGTTAGGGTTTAGGGCTTTATAGGGGTTATGTAGGGGTTACATAGGGGTTATATTAGGGTTATATTGGGGTTATATCGGGATAATGGAAAAGAAAATGGCAACGACTATGGTGGGTTATATTGGGGTAATATTGGTGGGGTGTTATAGGGTTTATATTGGGATAGTATAAGTTCAGGTTTTAGGGTTTAGGGTCATGGGGACCTAGTAAGTAGGTTAATGATGGGGATAATTGGGGTTATTCTATGGCTTATAGGGGTCGTTAACTTCTTGCTAAGTCCCCATGACCCTCCAAGTAGGGGTTATATAGGGTTAATGTTGGGACTGGAAAAATTCAATGGAAACTCTTGGGGCTATATTGGGATAATGGAATTAGAATGGAAACTACTATTTAGGGTTTTGTGGGGGATGTAGTGTGTAGGTGCAGGAAAGGAATGTAAGTTGCAGCAGCATGTAGGAGATGAGTTGAAACTTTTGGGACTGTTCACTGACATAGTTTCCATCTTATTTTCCATTATCCCAATATAACCCCAATATAACCCCATATAACCCCTATAACCCCAAGGAAGTGGAACTTGACGGTTTGCAGATTGCATAGCTTCTTTTTCAGGACTTTGGGGCAGAGGTCGTGCATGCTGTTTTGCATGGTATGAGGAGACATGGGGCGGCATTGGGTGTAGCAGGTGTTGGGGAGACGGGTGGTGGGTTTCTTTCAGCAAGACTCATTGTTCACAAGCCTAAGCCGTTCATGCTGGCATCACCGCCTTCTTCAGCACCCGTCCATCACCCTGCGCAAGCCCTCGCCTCCACCTCCTTCCCAAACAGCATGGCCAACTCCTATCATGGAGCACCGCAGAGAAACTGGTTCATGTCTTCACAGAAGCCTCATGAAGCTCGTAAGTCTCGAGACCCCTTCCACCCCGAAATCCCAGGTCCGCCGCGAGTCTAGCCAGGCCAGATACCTGATTCACGCCCAAAATACTGAAATAGCGGAATCGCTGTACTCTCCTTATGATCCCAATATGACCTCGTATGTGCCTTGAGGTGAGAAAGTCCAAAGTTGAAGTTTAAGACAAAAAGGAGGAGAGTTCCAAGACAGGGAACTCTAAAAAAAGGGGTCCGGCATTAGAGGATTTGGGGTTCAGGGCTTTTGAGGCTCAAAACCTGTGTCCGATCAAGGTCGTAATGTCTCAAGAACCGCGTGGCTGTCGGGCAGGTTCACAACAACCGGGTCTCACTACCTGTTCTTCAACTTACGGGTGCTTTGTGGGGAATAGGGGAATACATTTCCTATATGAACCTTATTGAATGTATTGCGATCCGTCAGGAAGTGATATTTTGACGGTTCAGATCAGCCCAGTATTGCAGCTTCACACATGTTCACGCTGTCTTTATGCAGTTCAACAGATTCATAAGTTGACTGATTCATGCTGCTTGCCAGCTAATTAACGAGGCTCATCGAATGGTCTGTGGGTCTGGGAACCCTCCAGCTTTTTGCGCTGTAGACCAAGGGCTTTAAACACTGCTCACAGGGACCTTGTCAAGTTTCAGCATATGAGGGCGGGATGGCGCTACAGTACATTGAAATTAGGGAGAAGTGATGAACTTGCGTGCCTAGGCAGCCTGATACTCCGTGTCAAGACCCATTACCGAAGAGTCACATGCCCTCCACTATATCTAGTTCAAGTCCTAGACTCCCAAGCCCGACATCCTGCAAACAATGCCCGCAACGCAGCAGTTCCCTCCATGCCCTTGGCAGGCGGGTAGTGGGACAACGGAATCCAGTCGCACGGACGAACAGCTAGGATTCAGCTTGTCAGGCTCGCCCGGCTAACTGGCTTTGCCTTGAGTTGAGGTTCGGGACCAAAACATGAGAAGGCCTGCTTGGGCTTGGGAAGGCAACATAATTATGGGTGTGGTCTTCAGGTCTGATGCCCCGACGTCACGGACCGTTCAAGGTTCCCTCAACGATTTTCTGAACCAGTTCATTAGAAAGGCCGGTCTGGCATCGGTGCCAGTAAAGACATGGAGACGGGCCCGCCTTCTTGCGGTCCGTATTTACTGTTTTCATGGTGGGGCTTCGTAGAGAATATGGGAATGTATAGTCCCCCTGAAGTAGATAGAGGGGTTTTAGGGGGTTACATTAATTGGGAGTATGGAGAAGAAAATGGAAACTACTGTTTAGGGTTTAGGGTATAGGGTTTAGGGTATCGTATATGCGGCTCTTATTATGATATACCTACAGCCATATTCTATCTACTTAAAAAGGGTTATTTAACATTTGGACTATATAGGGATCCCTGCTCAGAATCAGTAAGTTTGGTTGTTGGAGCGGGGGCGAGCTCGAAGCTCCAGGCATACCCTAAAAGCCTAAACTCTGAACCCTAAACCCTAAACCCAAAAGCCTAAACCCTACAATCCTAAACCCCACACCCTAAACTGAGGTTTCTGTCAAGAGGAAGCCCCTGGACACTCGTCCGGCAGTGCTGGGGAAGGCCCCAGATGAGCATTAGTTTTTCTTACTGGTTCTTCGTCGGGAATAAGATCCCCATATACTCATATAATCCCTATAGAATATATTCCCATATTCCTTATTAAGCCCCATAACAACTTTTGTGGCTGTGAGATTGTCATGCCAGCAGAGTGAGAGTCTTGGCGTCTAAGAGTTCCATTTCGGGCTTTGCTGGTTGGCCTCATGGTCATACTTGTGGGTTGTTTGTAAGAGTTGACGAGCAGTCCGTCTCTGCTTGCACATGCCCGCACTTGCCTAGCTGAGTCTGAACATGCTGACGTGTGCGATGCTGCATCAGTTTCCTAATCTGCAACTGGGACATCTGGTCAATACGAAGTTTTCCGCATTGCGGCCGCTTGATGCTTGAGGAATACCCGTCCATTTGCTTGACTCTACGGCCCTTTTGCTGATTTCAGCACATGAGCTCCGACAGCCCGAAAGTTGTGAGCGTTCGATTTGAGTTCTACTTAAACATCCACGGCTGGTGCCGACAACAGGTTGTAGCCGATTGTAGCCCATGGAGTTTTCGGGGAGAGGTTTCAGTTGGATGCAGGCTTGCATCAACCAAAGAACGCAGCAGCCGTACAAACACAACAGCCCGGCAGTCATTGTAGCGGCATGACGCGACAGCAGTGTCCCCGTATATTCGAGACGCTCACTTCAACATGTCATGTGTTGGCAGAAGAGGAAAGTCTAGGATGGAGCGGCGCCCCAAACTTTAGTCCCTGAACCCTGGACCCCTCTCCGCTGCAGCGCGCTGCCAACTTTTCACGTGACAGGCCCGGAAAGCTCTATGCAGTCTGACCGCAGCAATGATCCAGAGGCAAGCCATTTCTGGGCCGGCATGAAGAGTACATATGAATGCTTCTGGGTTTACATCGCAATGGACTCTCTACAGACTCGCCTATACGACACTTACATGATGTTTTTGAGCGGTGTGTTTGGTCTGCATGCACAAATCTGCTTATGTCGCTCAATGTTCAAAGTTGGAGGTTGTGAGATTGTACGCATTTAGAGCTTTCAGCTTGGGGAAGCAGAATTGGGCAGCTCAGAGTAAGACCTTGCAGCTTTGGAAGTCACTGTATAAGGGCTCCAAAGCCTGCAACATGCATAGAAGCCACCCTACATCCCAGCGGCCATGTCATCTGCTGTCAATCGCTGGGGTCCCTATATATCATTACATAACCCCCTAAACCCTAAGCCCTTAACCCTAAACCCCCTAAAAGGATGGCATAGGTCCCTTAGGTATCATAGACCTGCTAGGAGGAGGCGCGGCAAGAAAGCTCTGGGGAGGACTTCCCGGACAATGGGCTTCTTCGTCAGGTTCGGGTACCCTCCGCGGGAGAGATATGTAGGGCGTAGGGAGATATGCACAAATCTGCATATATCATATACGCATGCCCAGGGATATTTAGGGCAGAAAGAGAGAGGCAGAGAGTGAGACACATAGATAGAGAGAGAGAAGGAGAGGCATATGTATATCTATCTATGTGTACATACGCATACATACGTACGTACTTACGTACGCATGTACATACATGCACGCATGCATACATACGTACATACCTACATATACCTACATACATACTTGAACACACGTACAGCACATTCACATGTCTCTATGTACACATAGGGATAGGAAAGGAGAAATGGGTTTGCTGGAGGTTTAGGCTTTGGGGTTTAGGGTTTAGGATGAGCCCTCCCCAAATTGACATGAACCCCCCTATGTAGCCTGTGACAGTAGTCTGCAGTAGCGCCCTTTTTGGGTCTCCATGTTAGTTTTGGGGGAGGGTAACTGCTTAACACCACTATTATGAGGGGGATCCTGTCTCCGAGGTCTTTTCCCATGTTTGGGGTATAGGGTTTGTTTTTCATATATTTGTCCATTTCCCTGGCCTTAAGCCTTGTCAACCCTAGAGTAAAGGCATCAAGGCATCCAGCCTCGACAGGGCTTCAGGTTGAAAGGGAGAAGCTGTGAGCTTTTCGAAGATCCTGGTGCACACCAGTAAGAAAGGCATTCAGTATTGAATGCCCTTGCGAAACCCGACAAAATTGGTATCATGAACTTGAGATTTCCAGTTCTTTCCGTTGAGGGGGTCTGACTGAATGCATGGTTGGAGCTACGGTGAGTCGTCAAGGGTTTGGGGTGCCAGGACTAATTAACCTTAATTCCGCAACCCCAGCCCCGGACTAACTTCCTGATTTGAAAGGACAGTTCTGCGCCGCCTCGCAAGAAAAAGGCGACAGAAGCTGCAGAACCAGAGGCTCTTTTGTTCCAGTTCCAGGGTACAGGTACTCCCAGGTGATTCTCGAAGCCTCGCTTTCTGACCGGAATCCTAAAACGTTATGCTGGGCAAGAAGGGGCCAACCATTTGGAGAACTCCGTAAACCTGAAACTATTTTGTGTCATCATCTATATGTATATGGTCTTCTTGCAGCCCTTGTGCGTGTACAATCATGTTAAAGACCGGAGGAGGGGTTTGGTGGAGAATGAACATCAGGGCTCCAATGCTTTGAATGGGGTTTCGGGGCATCTTGTACTGTAAAAGTATATGAAGAGTATAACTAGTATAAGGGAATATTGTTGATGATCATTTACGCTTCTCTGTGTGAGCCCACACTGCAGAAGCCTGGCAGACGCTTCACGAAGTCTTGGGTGGTTTGGATCACCTTCCCTTCCTTAGGCAAAAAAGCTAGTGTGACCACTCTAGCCGCCTTGGCCAAGACGCGTCCCAGAGTTTCTCGAGGGACCACAATAGTTCGAATCCCATTCCTCGTTTCGCAGTGCATGTGGCGTTGTTGCAGGATTTTTCTACAATGGACAAGAAACAGGGGATGCAAGAATCGCCTGAAGTCGGTACATTACTAGTCGGGCGGCAATCCTCAAAAACATATGGGGTTTCCCAAAAAATCTGGGGTACCATTTTAGGGGTCCCAATAATAAGGACTATACTACTTTGGGGCTTATATTGGGGTCCCCTTACTCTATCTACCTTATTTAGGGAAAGTACCATATATAGCCCTTAATAGGACCCCTAAATATAGACCACCTAAACCCTAAACCCTAAATAGTAGTTTCCATTTTCTTTTCCATTATCCCAATATAACCCTAATATAACCCTAATATAACCCCAATATAATCCGAATATAACCCTAATATAACCCCAATATAACCCGAATATAACCCTAATATAACCCTATTGTTATTACCATATGTTTCCATTTTCTTTTCCATTATACAAGTAGCAGCTGCCTGAGCCCTTGCAGGCCTTGGAGCGGCGAAGCTCAGAAGGTGCTTCCAGCCGGGTCGTGTCCGAAGGCCAGGGTTTAGGGTTTGGGGTTAGGGCTTTAGGCTTTAGGCTTTAGGCTTAGGGTTATATAGGGTTTAGGGTTCAGGGTTTAGGTCTCTGATGCCTTTTTTGGGAGTTTTGAACGCAGCCATGAGTGGTAAGATAGCTGCGGGTGTCCTGCATGCAACCCCGGATAGTAGTTACCTATGAACCTCAGGCACAAGACAGTCCTTCTAGATTCTGATGAAATCAGATTCTTGGAGAGCGTCAGGTAATGCAGTCGAGTAATCCATGTTTTTTTGTGCTAAGCAGCCACGAGAGACATGTCATGATCAGGCTGTACAAAGTGCCCCTTACCTGAATCTGAACCTCTCGATGCAGGACCTGAGCCTTACTGGTGGTTTGTAGGGAAGAAGGAAATACATTATTCAGGGATTTTATGGGGATTGTATTCCCTTGTTAGGGAAAAAGCTCATATTTGAAGTACTTAGGGAGTGCATAGGGATTATAGTCGCTTATTCCCTACTAACCACCAGTAACAGTAGTGCAGGCTCCGACGACCCTGAAGAGACGGCTCCAGTGTCTTGGCAGAGAACTCCCCAACAACAAGAGCAATATGGAGGTTTCCCAGAATTAGGGGTACCATTTTGGGGGTCCCAATAATAAGGAATTTAGTATTTAGGGGTCTACATTGGGGTCCCCCCCATTTAGGGAAACGACCATAATAATAGTAGCAACACTCGTAATGATAGCAATCACAACGATAGTTGTAGCAACAATGATAGTATTAATAAGAGGATTGTGAGTAAAAGTAGTAGTACTATTGATGGTCATAAGCGGAGCTGCAGCTTCTGGCAGTTCGGATTTCAAGGTTTCTGATGTCCAATTGTGAACTCATCTGCGGTGCTGCCTTCCAGGGTGCTCCTAAATCAATCTCTTTAGCCCTAAACCCTAAACCCTAAACCCAAACCCTAAACCTTTTGCGTGTGGAACCTCATTGATATTTGCCGAGGTGCAGAGTTTTTGGTAACAACCCATTATACTAGTTTGCATTTTCTTCTCCACTATCCCCCATATAACCCCAATATAACCCCAATAATACTCCAATGGGTCTTTTACTCGGATTTTGGACGCTGCTTCAGGTGGTTGTTTGGATTTGATATTCGGAAGAATCAGCAGCACTCAGGATTTAGGGTGATGATCTTTTGCCCTTGTGCGGCTTAGGCACTTTAAGCTGGATGCGGCTGTAGCCGCTTGTGGTGTGGCCCTGAAGCGGGACTGAAAGTGTAGGTTCCACAGCCAACCCCTTAAAGCATGCTGCATGTCAGGTCACAAGCGGGCCTGTATAATCCCCTCATGGCCCTCTCAGAATTCCTATGTGTCCCTGGGTGTTCTCATACCCCCCATAACCTAAACCCGAAACGAGCCGTCCCTCAGACCCCACAAAGGTGGAAGCCGGACACGAGATGTCGTGTAAAGCTCCTGCAGAGGAGGACGATGACACAGGCTTCTCGCTTCTATTTCAGCTTTTGGAATCGTGCGTGTTTTAATGAATGTGCTTTGGTCTTTGTGACTGCTTTTCATTGAGTGGTATAGTTTAGATCAGGGGTCCATTGGATTTAGAGAGGCTTTCCTTGGATGCAAACCCAAGTGTCGCTTAACTTCTGGGCCTTTGAAGCCTTTGTGCAATTGAGATCCTCGATCCTGACATTGTTCACTTGACGTGCTCAGCTTAAGCTCTTCAGGCAGTCGGTCCAACCCTACCTACACTTTGAACTGAATGCCATGAGCACATGATCATTTGCAGATGTCTTCAGTGAAAGATGTGCATGCCAAATTATGTCATCTCCTTGTGACTCTGCATATGCTAGGCCGGAGGCCATGCCATTTTTATTAGTCCCCTCCTGCTTGTCCTTGTGCGTGTCACGGCTTGTTCGGAGAGTCGTATATACAGGGACCTCCAACTTGAGCAATGTATCCCCAGATGCCAGTCCTATCTTGACTAGAAGTCACAGTTTTCTTGCGGCCCTGCAGTTGCACCGGCACCCTCAACAGTCCGGATTCTTCTTGTCGTGGCTCTTGAAGTGAGAGTCGATCTTCTTAGAAAGCCCCATGCAAAAAAACCATCCTAGCTAATCCCCTTGCAAAGTCCATGTACCCCGAGTTTTCCCCCATGCCGGTAGCTAATCAGGATTCCAGCAACTATGGAAAATGCCCTTCGCTCAGACCTGCAGGAATCCTAAATGATTTCACCAAAGAACCTAGGGCCCTAAACCCTAAACCCTAAACCCTAAACTGCGGGTTCAGGATCTAAATCCGGATAAAAGTATAACCCGCAGCCGCCCCTGTGGTTCTGTGGCCCTGTGGTAGATCAACCCCGATGAGCATGGTTATATTGGGAAAATGGAAAAGAAAATGGAAACTACAGGGATTATAGGGTTATATAAGGGTTATATAGGGATTATAGGGTATATTTTGGGTGTATATTGGGACAATGGAAAACAAAATGGAAACTACTATAATGGAGAATGAAATGGAAAAGAAAATGGAAAATGAAATGGAAACCCTAAACCCTAAACCATAGGTTCCTTTAAATGATTTCAGGCCTGCAACAGCTGCCGGTGGTCTCGGCCGTGGGCTCGGTCATACAGCCTGGACATGGGAGTTGCCAAAAGTTAGGGTTTAGGGTTTA